CTTTTGAATCAGCTTGTTGAACTGACTTCTTGTGTGGCTGTCTGATGGTTTAGATCTGGTGAGAGAAACAATGGAACTCCATGGTCAGACAGATGGAGGAAGGAGGGTGGGATCTTCTTCTCAGCTGCAACAGCGACACTCAGTTTAATATAATGTGGAAATGTACCCTGTGGTAATGACTTCAGTTTTCAGACAATTAAGACTCTCCTGTTACTGATGAATCTTTGTTACGTCTAGAATTTACATACTCCTTTCTTCATCCCTGTTAAGACAGTAGGGACACACTGTCTATGTATCTTCTCAGCTGTTCTGTGGATAACTGGAAATTGAAAAACGATTTTTGAGGTCTGTTCTGTCAGATTATGGGTGGGAGTTAATAGAAAACATGCTTATACCCCTAGTAATTGTCTATAGCCTTGTATTCCTAGTAACAAAGAGCGTGCTCTAATACCCTTAGCATTTTTTTGCTGTTCCACATTTTTCGTTAATCTTTTTATACTGGATGTCAAGATGCGTGCTTTTCCCCCACCCCTCCTTTTAGTGGATAAAACCTGCAGTGCTCTCTGACGCATGGCAAGGTAAGGTTGTGGGTGCTGATGCAAGAGTGGGCTTGAAGAAGACAATGTGCTGAGTTCTTGTTCAGAAATAGGATAGTAAAGAAAGAAAATAGAACATTACTTTTAGTGTTTATTCAGGGAGAATATAGGGAGTTTCTTGGAAAACGTAATTTTCAGTAATTTTGTAGCTTGGAAAAAATGCAAAGGTATTGTGCCTAATTAAGCATGCTAGTAAGAGTCTTGAACTTGTATTTTTACTGCACAACGACAGCAAACATACCAGAGTGTTCAGGTCAGACTGTGGAAAATCAAGAGGTCTTTGGGCCTAAACTTTGTGTGTCCCTAGAAGAAAGTAAGAGACTTAAAAAACCCTTTAGCTCATTTTTGTGCTGTAAATCAATATCTAATTGTAAAAAAACAGCTGCTGGGAGAAGTAGCAGACATTCCAGTGATGGCCTGTCACATTTCTTCATCTGCTAGGTGAAGCTTATAGGTACAAAGTGTCACATTGGTGTTGAGAGAAGTGAAAGCTACTGTGGGAAACCTCATAAGAAGTAAAATTGCATCTAGAAAGAAGAGTGTTACATTGTTTTCTACATGCTACTGAAAGAGGTGAAGTGGGGGGAGATGGATGGAAAGTGGGGAAAATGACTGGAAGACAGAATCCAAGATCCAAGAAGAATATACAAGTATATACACTACTTGTGTTGTATAAGATAAAAGAGCTTTTCAAGTAGTCGTGACCCTTTAAGGACACTGAAAATAAAGCCTTGAATCAAGAGTGTTTTGGATTTTTTTTGTAAATCAGGACTCTTTCAGACATAACAACAGAGGTGGTTAAGCAATCTCTAAAATGTTGTGGTCATGCTTATTAACATCAGAAGTGGGGAAGAGAAGAGGCAGACTGGATTGAGAGGAAGCAGGTATTAGATCTGGAAGGAGCAGCAACCTGTGTGGTGACTGGCGTGGATCTGATAGTTGTTCACAGCAGTGTGCTGCTGGAGCAGAGAAGAGGTGCCAGGTGCCTTGGGTGACTTAACCACGTACAACCATCCCTCTTCAGGCATAACGCTTCCCATAAATGTTTTGGACTTTTGCAAACTCCTTGTACAAGGCATTACAGCATAATTGAAATAGTTGTTGAATCTGTCATATCAAATTATCTGTACTCATCTCTTAAATGCTAAATAAATAGCAATTCTGCAGTAGAGAATTGCCTCTGCAGGATTGTTTTTCCCTGTGAAAGGAGCCTTATTTATTTTCCCTTTACAGAAAAGCAGAGATCTATTGGTATCTACCAGGTAGGTTAGATAGTTCTCTTCTGATTGTTCTTGATTTATGCTTGCTCCTTTTGTATAGCTACAAATACAATAATCAAACTGAAAGTTGAGACTAAATAAAATATGTTCACCTTCTAGTGAGACATAAGTCTGGAGCATTGGTTCCTCAAACCCTGAGTAGCAAGGGCTTTCTTCATTTGCCAGGGATGGGCATGTTTTTGTTATGTGAAAAAAGCCCATCGATTCCCCCATTCTTCTACTGCCTCTTGCTGACCTTGCTTTGGTGCCAGACACCTCAGGGAAGTTACGAAGGTCGGACTGCTCAGAGACTGATATCATGGAGTCTATTTTTAACTAAATGTTTCCACCTTGCTACTGTTTCTAGAACCATTTCAAGCAAAACTGGGCCTGTTCAGGCCTTCCACCTTCATGAACAGAAATTTGCGTGGTCTCCTACACTCTTTTCCAAATTATTTTTATATTTTTTATTTTGTAATAATGAAAAGTTTTCACCATTCCTGAGGATTAGTCTACAGCCTCCTCGTGAGAGAGGAGCAATTCAGAAACTAGGTAATATATACTAAAGACATTTTGACCCAAATGGATGGTGAGGCGAAGGATAATGATATTTCATTCAAGAAAACATCAGTGGAGTGGGAGTGTTACTGTGTTTGAGCATGTTAATGCTTTCCAGGCTCTCTGCTACCTCTTGGTGACCTTGCTTTGGTGCTTGAGGTCTGAAGGTGCACTTAGACAGTAATTGAGTGCTTGCTGGGGGCCAGAATGATCATTGTCAGATTTGACTGTGTGCGTTGGAGAAAGCGACTCAGGAAAGGGAGTTGTAATGGTGCTGCATGGGATTGCTATGCTCTGTGGCACCCTTGGCAGTGCTCCTTCTTGCAGGTGCTGGCATCTCGTTTGCCCTTTGCATCAGTCAATTATCTGCTACCAGTATCTCCCAGTTAGTGTTTCATCTTTTCAGTTAGTTTCAAGTTTAGAGCATAAAGAGTAGACTGAAAATACTTGCTTTGTCTATTGAATGGCTCTTCCAGCTATTCTGATACCATCGCAGTGTTGCCTGCTCTCTCTGTACATAAAGCCTCATGTGCCTTCATGAAAAGTTACGGAAATAAGTCAGAGAAAGTGTTTAGTGCCTAACAGAATTTCTGCTTCATTTTCAATTTGTTACATTCTGTAAGAGACAATAAAATGAACATTCTTAAACAGAATATGACAAACAATTGTCAGAGCTTGAAGGTATTTTTACTATATTTTGATGCAAAGTTCTTACTGTTAGCAAGATAATCTGATCAGGGTGATGATATCAGATAAATACCAAGAAAAAGGAAATGAGAGTAAGCGAAGTTTTCCCATGGAGCACTGTGTTTCATTGAATAATTGTGAGAACTTGATCAAGATATAGTCCAGCATAAATATCTTCTGCTGTTCAAAAATCAGAAATTTATCTAAAATAATGGGATTCCTAAGGATGTATAAAACCACCCTTCTCATTTTGGGTTTTTAGAGTGTACATTTTAAAACAGTTTTCTTATAATTTATAGGATTATGAGTCACTCACCTATTCTATAAAAAGAAAGAACACAAGCAGAAGGAAATGGGACATGCATTTTTAAAGACTGCTTCTGCCTGCCTTTTTGTTTATATGTCAGCTGAATTTTCATGTAATAACAATGCCTGTAGTTGTGGTCTTAAAATATATACTAAATATTGCAAGAATTGTGGTGAACTGTGGCAGCTGAGTTTTGTATTTAGGTTTTAAAATAGTACGTATATAAAAAAAGCTATATAATTTTTAAATTTCATGCGGTATGTAGTGAATGGAGAAGAGCCAGCTGAAGCTGTTTACAGAGAGTTCAGAATGGTGTACTTCTCATTGATACTTAGATGGGAGATGCTCTTCAGTTTCAGATGTGATTTGCTCACTGGTGTGCGCTGAATGCTGGGCTGTTGAGTGTATCGTTTTGGCAGTGTGTGCTGACACTTACTGGAGCGTGCCAGCAGTTTTGGCACCAGGCTGCTAGGGAAAAGGCTTCTGGTAGCTGGGTCATTTCAAAGCTTCAGTGTTTGAGTTGTCATTATACTTTTTATATGAAATGGGTTACCTGAATGACGTAGTGTTCGAGTTCTCATGTTACTAGAACACATCGAATATAAATACCTGATTTTGGTATAAATGCTCAGTGTTGTAGTCTTGCCTCTGTATTATACAGACAGCAGTTTTGTAAGTGTCAATGAACTTTTGGGGGAGAAAACTCCCAGGATTCAGATTCTACCAGCAAGTAGGCGTTAATATTTTTTTTTCCCTTGAGAACTTGGTGCAAAAGCACATCTTGTCCAATTAACCTCTGGCGTTTCCACTTCTAAGAAAATGTGCTTCATTTTGACTTTAAAGTTATGTTATATAGTGTAAATGTTTTGTCATGACTGTCATAAAGTTCTTCAGCTTTAGTCCCGCTTTGACTGTTTTATCTAGGGAAAAAATGTGCACCAGGAAAACATTACATCTCCCAAGTGCTCTTTGAAATACTTGTTGCTATTTTAGAACAAAAACAGTTCTACAAAGTTATTTGTGTGGTGACTTGTGCAACTTACCATAGCTAGTACTAGTAGTGTAAAAATTTCAGGAAGAATATGAAAGTATTCTTCATTGACTTGTCTTGGGCCCTATGAGTCAATTACGCACTTTTTGGAAAAAAAAGAAAAGAAAAAAAAAGACCAAGAAAAAAATCCATACTGTTTTCTATAAATTGAGGGCACATAGGCTTAACTTCAGAATTGTTTTGAAATCATAACTCTTATGAGGAAAAGTGCCTGAATGATCTTGCTTGAACTGTTTCCTCTAATTATGATCAAAGCTTTTTGTGGGGATGAAGGGTAAGGGTATATATTGTGGACTAATTTTTAAAGAAATTTGATTCTTGTTTCCTTTTTATGAATTTTTTTTTTAAATGGCGTTTTCTGTTCAGTGATAGAAAAAATTATTACTCAAAATTTATGTAGCAACCCAGTAGTTGAGATAATTTGGTGTCTCATTACAGTTTTGTAGACTAAGCGTGTTCTGGTAAAAACTTAACATTTCATTACTTTTTAGCTTGAAAAATAAGTCTTGCATGTATTCTCATTAACATTTGAATAATATTATTCCAGCTGCGTTGGAGTAGAGGAGCACCATGCTGTTGACATTGATCTATACCATTGTCCCAACTGTGCAGTTCTCCATGGACCTTCTCTAAGTAAGTATGGGCTATTCAGATTTTATTTTACACTTTCAGTATGTTTTCTTTCAATATACAATTGAAAAAGAATATTCAGAAAAACATTAAAGGTAAGTTTGATTATTTAGAAGGTACTGGTGTTACATGACTAACTCTGAGCTGACAAAAAACCACAAAACGTAACAAACCACTCCGAAAGGTTCCCTGGTCTGGAGATGCAGATAGAATAAATTGTAAACCATTGCTATAGATTACAGAAATTAAAATGCTCAGAGCTAGTAGAAAACATCACTTGATGCAAATTCAAGCCTAAGTTAAAGGGCTGCCACAATCTGGTCTTGACAGACAGTGAGAGAATGAAAATTAGGAAATCATAGTTTAAAAAAAATAAATATATATATCCAAAATGTGGCTTAAGGTTCTTATATTTCAGTCATCGAAATTCTAATACCTAGGGAGGCAATGTTGAGAAAATGTAGGAGTTAGCTGTCTTACCTTTCTTGATGATTGATTGTAGGCTATATGTCACAACAGTCCAGTGAAACCTCAAAATATTAACTTCCTGTGTTCACTGGGTTGTTTTTTTTACCCTTTATTTATGTTCCTGAGAGTTACATAGCTCTGAAGTTCAGGTTTCTGATTTAAAAAGGAGTTTTCACCAAGTTCCTTATGCAATTTTTTGACTAGCCAGAAAAGACTCTGAAACAGCAGCAAGAGAGAGCTCTTCTTTGATTCTCCTTTCAGCAGATAAATTTGCAATAGAGATCTGCAGTGGAAAGATGGACCAGTTTCTATCTGAAATTGCTGAAAGGATACTGCTTCATCCCACTTCCTAGATTGTTCCCCATGACTCCTGTCCTTAAATGGAAACAATGTAACAATGAATTTCGCCTTTCCAACAATTAATTAAGTTTCAATGTTGAGACCTGGAAATGTTTATATGGACTGTCTTTGACCTCCAAGCACCGAGTCACGGTCATTTGTGTTACCTAATGTGTGGGGGCTTTTGTTTGTTTGTTCTTTTTCTTGAAGACCACAGAATGATTTAGAGTTAACAGTGACTTAAGAACTAGAATCTTCTCAAAGCTGAATTTACTTCAGCATTTAGAAATAAGTTTAAAACCACTGCACCCTCACTGGTACTCTTGTGGAGTATGAACAAAGCGATAAAGCATCACTTACTGATGTAATTAATATATATTGCATGATATGTATCTTGTATAGTATGTGAGTTCAAGATTAGCTGCTTTTAGGTTTGGGGCTAAAAGGTAATATAAATGCTGTTTTACATGCTTGTACTTTTTAGTATTCTGGTTGTAATTTTCAGAAAAAGATTTGCAAGTCTCTCCTGTAAATCAGAATACAAATAACAGCCCTTTCTTTCCCCACCTTTCTGCCTTTTTTTTTTTCTGTGGAGTAGAGGAACCAGAAGGATGAGTAGAAGGGGGATCATACCAGACTTTCAAAATAATAAACCAGTAAATTTGAAAGCTCTTTTCTCCTCTTGATTTAAGAGAACTAGTATGCTTCAGCATGATGCCTGTGAATAACCTTTTGTGTAACACAGAGGCTGCTAGCTCTAGTGCCAGCTCTGTCTCACCTGCAGCAATTTGATAGTGAGATAAGAGTGATTTTTGTGTTGGTAGTCTTTTCAAAAAGATAAGAATCTGTGGTAAAAATTATCCTTATTACTTCATATTGCCTCAAGTAAGTAGATAATCTAGATCTAGTAGAAGCTTCAGACATGTCACTTACCAACCCAAGTAAAAGAGTTATGTTGAGATATGTCTTCACTTGAAATTTTATTAATTGTTCTCAAAGAAGCTGTCAGAATCAAATCTGTGATAGTGGTTTGGGCTCTACTTACTTTAGTGTTCAGAGAGACTGATAATGCCTCATGTCTTCAAGTGTTGCAACAATGCTCCGGGGTGCTTCAAGCATGTAAAATGATATAAGTAAGTAAGGAAAGCGTTTTTATTTACAGCATTGCCTTTTAAAATCCGTTTGTCTAAAGGAGTTTTGAAAGAGACAGAAATTCAGCTGTTTGATTTAAGAGGGCCACTGTATCTCTGACTTCAGCAGGCACTTGTGTATATAATCCCATCTAATCAAATGACTTAGTGCAAAAAATTTACTAAAAATACACAAGAAACACATACTTCATACTACCAAATGAATGGTTGCTTTCAATATCCTACAAAATTAGAAGTTCCAATAATGAAGAGAAAGCTACTGCCTAGTTATATGTAAAGATCAAATTAACCAATCAATTTCTTTTTGTATTTCAAACAAAAATAAATCTTCGTCTTGATTTGGTAGAGCAACAATTTTGCAAGACCTTCAGTAAGCAGCCATGTGTGTAAAATGCTAAATAGTTAACCCTAAAATCTTAACTAATTAAAATAAAAGAGTGGTTTAAAAAATAGTAGTACAGTGTGGAATATTCTTAGCTTATTTGGTTTAGAGTCTTCATATTCTGTTACTTTCAAAGCTTTCTCCTTGATCTTTAAGTCTGAAAATGCTCTATTTGAATGAATGCCATGAGTCGGGTCTGTTACCAGACTCTAGAGAGCACGAGAATCAGTGAATGTTAACAGGGCTGTGATTGTCAGGACAGTACTTTCTTAATCTGGTTTTACCTTCTCAAATTCTGTAAATACCCTCCCACCTCTTAGTTGTTGACTATGGTAGTGATGCTGGTGTTTGAGCTGAGCTGACAACATGAGATGTTGTACCAGGCCTTAGAAGTGGTATTTTACTGTATGCTCCTGAAAATTTTTGAGTTTTCCAGTGCTAACATTTCTCTTGCCTTTTTGATCACTGAGAATCACCAAAAGGACCGTTTAGAAGGTTTGGGGGCTCACTGTACAGATGTATACCTCTTGGTGGTCCACATTTGAAGTCTAGCGTGTGACGTCTGAGACAAACAGGCTAAGTGGTGTGAAAAGGCAAGGAACAGTGTTGGCCGGAAGTAGGTGCAGTTACTGGCCGACTGTTTTGAGTGTGTAAGGAATGGGATTTAAAAATAGCTTTCTGCTTACTTTTCATAAAAACTTCCAGCATACTCCTTTCCTTTTCTCACCCCTTCGCAACAGTCTAGTGTACTTCTACTGTGTGTGGTTTTAGTATTGTCGCAGTGGGTCGTGCCTCAGTTCTCAGGAACACCAGGGGTGGACACAATTCCTTCTACCAGTTTGGAGTGATTGGTAGGGGAAGATGATTTATATATATATATCTGCACTGTTATATGTGCAGTTCAACTTCCATAGTTGTTTGGGGTTTTTTTGGTTGTAATTCAAGCATGAATATCCATTCAGTTAAATCAGTTTTCTTGCAACTGTTAGTGTAATGTCTTAAGCTCTAGAATTAAGAGACACAAAAGTGGGAGAAGTTTTCATTACTTCATTACAGAAGTTTTCTGTTCTTCAGTGTTCTCTTATGGGAGGATGAAGTACCTTGGCAAGTGCTAAGTAAAGCAAAAGAGTTACTTTAATTTCTAGTTTTTAAGTGTTAGACAGATATTTAAAAGTTGGTTTTGTGCTATAAAATCTCTTAAGCAGCTGTATCATCTTACAATTTTAATGAGTTGTTATAACAGCAGTGAATTTATGAGAAACTACTCTATTGCAAATTAGTATTAGCCACTAATTTCTTGTGTTGTTATTTATGATAGAGAAAATAGCTTTGAAAACTTAATAAACCTGGTTTCATTATTCATGAAGTTTTAGTGTATTTGGATAGTTGGCTCATTAAGCAGGCTCTTCAGCACTGGTTTTCAGGTTAGCGCATACCTATGAATGTCTTCTAAAGGGCGCATTTTGTCACTTCTGTAGGAAACAGCTTACCAATAGGAATAATTATCTCTTATGTGTAGTGACTGTAAGGTGGCAGTTACTCATATATAACCAACTGTTTTTCTAGGGAAGCAGTATTTTCTTTTCTTCTTAGAATCTACTTCTTTTTCTCTTTTTTTTTTTCCTTAAATCCTTAGCTTCCTATTACTTTTAGCTGTGTTTCAATATTGTTAACTTTTTTTTTTCTTTTAGATTTTGGGTGCATCACGATTTTGGTAAACTTAAGGATGAGCTGGTCCATGAAGTTCAAATCAGTATTAATACCATTGTTTAGCTGGGTGTCATATTTGTACTGCAGCCTATTTTGTATATGTATTTAAAACACCATTTGTGTTGACAAGTAACACTACCTTTTCCTCCTCCTGTGTTTCCTCAGCAGATGTAATTAAATTTCTGCTTAATATTAGTTAAATTATAGATCTGGTCTCAGTAAATCTTCTTGGGGCAGTCTGCCAGTAGCAACTATCTAATACTGTGAAGCAGAATTTGGCCTTTAAAGGAAAAAACTGAGACACAACCTAAATATTGCTGCACCCTTAGTATGTTTCTTAGTGTGGTAAATGATGTCCTGCTAAGTCAGTAGAAAGATAGCAAATCTAGCACTGTTGGAGTTTCTTTCCCAGATGATGAGATGGAGGTTGTTTTTGGTGAGGCACCTGTTGGGATTTTAACAGGGCTTTTTACACAAACCATTCTGTGATTCTATGAATTTTTTTATCTCATTTTTTTTCTCTGTCATTTGTCATGGGGAGACCAACACATCAGTTTCTATGAGAGTGTCTGGTTTTTCATTTTTCTTGGCCCTTTATAGGAAACTGTTAAAAATGCAATTTAGTTGCTACTGAGATATCCGTTTCAGATTCCCAAAATTGTGATGGAAAATTAATTCATCCTTTTTTCTTTATTAAGGTGTCGTATTAGTGCATTAAAGTTTCAGACGACTCAGAAATTGAATATTTTGGGGTGCAGTGCTTGTATTATATGTATTGTGCTTTCACAGTAAAGATCACACCTACCTCAAACAGTTTATGCCCAAAACTGTTATGGAGTCATAAGCACTGGATAAAAGAGAGGCAGTTTGGTTTCACACAGCATATGGTAGTGAATAGTAGTAATATTATCGGACTGGATATGGGTATGCTCATGTGGTGAGGTAGCACAATGGGATTGGGTCCTGTTAATTCTGTGTTAATATGTAGAATGAAGGCTATGGATATTGAAGAGGTATGATTCTTTTGTTTATTGAAAAAATAAAATCTGAGCTTTAGGAAATTAAAGTTCTATTTTTGTTGCTGACTCTTTAGATTTGGACAACTTTCAGGCTGCTGCTGTTTACTTGCGCTTCACTGGTTTCAGAGTTTTAAATCATTGTGTATAATGTGTACTCGCATAGAAGGGAGGTATAGAAGTACAGAGGATTACTGTCAGGTGTCCTGAAGCTGTTGTTTGTTTCATATAGAGGTAGAGTGTCACCTGTGTAAACAGTAAGATTTGTTAATCGTAGTAATGTAATTGAGGCCTGTCTGGCTCACTGATGGAATGACTGCCAATCTGAGCCATCTGATGCAACTAATTCAAAGCTTAATCCTTCTGAAACTTGTAGTGAAGAAGAGGAGGAACTGGCACAGACATGACTACACAGAGTTGGATGATGGTTCCAAACCGGTGCAGGCTGGAACACGGACCTTCGTTAAACAGCTGCGGGCTCGCTCTTTCCCAAGGTACAGAGGCTTGCTTACATATTTCAGTGAAAAAAATAGAGAAACCTTGTTGACTGACTGTGTCTTAGGGGAGACAATTAACATTTCTCTGCGTCAGAAAATGAAGGTTGAGGATGACTTCTTCCTCCTTTAGAATCACCCCTGCCCCATCCCTGTTTCAGAGGAATGCATTTGCCTTCTCATGCAGTAGCTTCTCCTGTTCAGTTTTGCACTGGGATATGTTGCCTTTTGGGACTGCTACAGGGTGGTATGGGGGTTTTGTGGTTTTGTTTGTTTTTGTGAGGGAGCATGGGCATTAGCAAGAGTGGTTTGGTTTTGTTTTTTTTATATGCCTGAACTGTCAGAATATTGTCTGCCTATTCCTATAGTCCAGGAATAGTCCTCAATTGAATTAAAAAAAACGTGGAACATTTGTATGAGCTGGTAGTCTTATCTGCTCTTACATGCTTTAGAGGAAAGTGGAGAAACGTGGTTGTACTTTCATCATGAGCTGTCTGTGGTTGGGTGTCTCACTGAAACATAACTTGCAGTTCTTCAAAGGAGTTCATTGTCGTTACATTTTAATGCCTTCTCTGAGAATTCCTCTTCCCCATCCTCTTAAATTACTGTGTTGAGTCATATAGAAAAACTATGAGTTCCCAGGTTATGCATGACAGTAAACATTTCCCTGCTGGTTTAGGTAGTTTTCTTTGTCTTTTAGTTAAATGCTTAATATAATAGTACTGGGTCCACTTCTTTTGGATTCAAATGTAGCCATTCCCATCTATCCTCCCCCAAACTGTGTCATAATTTTTTTTTCATTAGTGCTTATAGCATGCTTTTCTGCTAATATTCCACTATTTCTACCAGTGCTGATGAAGTAATATTGAAAATGCATGGAAGCCAGTTGACACAAAGGTACTTGGAGAAACATGGGTTTGATGTTCCCATTATGGTTCCTAAATTAGATGGTCTGGGGCTCAGACTTCCTCCGCCAACTTTCTCCGTTTTAGATGTGGAACGCTATGTAGGTAAGAGCTGCTCTGGAGTACTTGCAAATGATCTTGTATGTAAATGAAAATACACATTTGTGTGGTTATAAGAGCTTCCACAGTGCTAAATATATATTTTAAATTGAATTACTTCTAACTAGAAGACTAGCAGAGAGTAAAATTAAACCTATGTTTTTTGGGAGATTGGTTGTTTTTTTGAGGGCGTGGGGTGGTTTGTGTGTGGTGGATATGTGATAGGAGTACAGCCTTACTTTTCAACTTTCAAATTTTATTTTAATGGAAACTAAACATGGAATCCTGAGAGTTTTTTCTGCTACATGTTGTAAACCAATATAGCAGTATGACTTTTAAGATTGTTCTGCTTATGAGAATTGAATCAATCACTCTTATGATCAATGAAGTGTAATAATTGGTTAGGATATTGCAAAACTTAGTATGTTTGGCTTGGTAAATTGGCATTTCTGAATTAAATCTTTTTCTGGAAAATTTCCCACCTTGGCTTCTTTTGGCAGGAGAACTAGAGCTTCCCAGGGACCCTTTTTTCATATCACATCTTTTGTCAGTCTGTAATTGTTTCAGTCTAATGTGAGGGTGCACTACAGAGAAACAGAGGCTGATCCAATTGCAGAGTGACATTTCCTTTAAAATAGAGTACAGTATATGGCCTTGTCTGTGATCTTGTGATAACCCAATGTAATGATGTATGCTGAAAGTAGGTATTCTGTCCATCAGCATTTTATGGTGGCACCAGAATAGACTAAATATGTAGCATGTGGAATGTTGTTACAGTTATGATTATTATAAACAGTAATGAGTTCTGCTTTGAAGTGTAATTATAATTTGGATACTTCTGAATCTTTTCTTTTGGAGTACTGCCACTTCAAGATTCAGAGAAAAACTTTCTCTTCTCGTTCTCATATGTATATTTTGACCTGCCAGTTCCCCAATATAGGTGAAAAAAAAGGGAATGCCACAGATTTACCTGTCTATTATTGAAATTAAAAATAAGAAAACTGGATAAACACTATTCCAGATGGAATTTATGAATATGATACTAACTTGCAATTTTAAAGTAATTACGTTTTATAATGTGCATCTAGATACTTTCCAGCATTTCAAATTTTATTGTCAAATTTGACTGTTGTGTAACTAAATGGACATAAAACAATTGCTATTATAAAGTTGTTGTTAGTCCTTTCTCTTGGCTACATGTTGCTTCTTGCTTGTCTGGTTCTACAGATGTATCACTTTAAATTATGCAATATGTAAACCAGTCCTTGTCTTCAGAAATGAAGCACACTCACGACTTAACTTTCAAGCACATAGTAACTTCATTGAATAATTATGCATGTATATAAGGAGGGTGAGCTTGTAGAACATTTGTGAAGGAGTACCTGCATAGTTTTTAGCATTAAAAGCTTACAATTATGGTACAAGTTTAGTGCAGTTTGCTAAGAGTTACAAGCTGTGAGCAGTAGGATTTATTATTTGGAAGAATTCTTGGTGGTCTTTGCATTAAATATTGAAATGCTGTGGTGATGATTAGTAGGAAGAATGAGGAATAGATCTTCCTTGGTAACTTTCTCTACACTAGTCTTTCCAATTGCAGTCACAAACCCCATTTTTTAAACCAGTTGTAGTCATTCTGTACAGCTTTTTTTTTTTTTTTTTTTGATTAACCACAGGAAAGAGGATTTATTTTTAGAGTGATTTTTGAATTCCTTCCTTGGCTGATTATAGCAATTAAAGTTAGACCTAATAAAAAGTTGGTTTATAGTGGTCTGTCCCTGTTCCTAGAGAACGCTGGTAGTAGTAGAGGTTTTTGTGCAGAAATATATTGATAAAGACTGGAAACAGGTTAAATTTCTCTTAAACACCTTAATTGGCTTTTTATCTGTGATAGGCTTAAGAAAGTCATCCTATTTTTCACAGGTGGTGACAAAGTGATAGATGTGATAGATGTAGCAAGACAAGCAGACAGTAAAATGAAACTCCATAATTATATTAAATATTTCACAAATCCGGATCGACCAAAAGTATTGAATGTGATCAGCCTGGAATTCTCGGACACAAAGTGAGTATTGACTTCAATGTCTTGAACAGAGGAAGTGGGTTTTCACTGAGTTGAACAGTATGTGTGGGAATGTGATGTCTGTGGTGGGAAAGATAGGAGGCTGCATATTTTATGTAGACAGCTACTATGATGTAATGCAGGTATAAAACATTGTTATTAATTCATAAGTATAACTTTGGAGGAAATAAAAATTTAAAGCTGTCATTTAAAAAGAAGTGTGCTTACTCTTGATTATATTTATGTTTCTTTTTTGTTTGTTTGTTTTAAAAGGATGTCTGAATTAGTGGAAGTACCGGATATTGCCAGAAAGCTTTCATGGGTGGAAAACTATTGGCCAGATGATTCTGTCTTCCCTAAGCCTTTTGTTCAGAAGTATTGCTTGATGGGTGTTCAGGACAGCTATACTGATTTTCATATCGATTTTGGAGGAACATCAGTTTGGTACCATGTCCTCTGGGTATGAAGGCTTCTTGATTTATGACTCTGCGAAACAAAATTTATTCAGTGTGCAGCTTTCTGCTGTGGCATTATGACCTGTTTAAAATTGTCACCTGTATGAAACTTTGTGCTTAAAAAGCAAAGGGAGGTGCTTGAAAGTGAATTTACTGGTTGATGGTATTGAATTTTTATGCTTTCATTTTAGCATGCTGTTGGTGACTTCTAGAATATAATTGGTTGGTTGATCATTGTAGTAGACTGGTAGGTGATACGGTGAGGTTTTAGTATGAAAAAATGAATTGTATGAAAATTAATGACATGCTCAACTTTTAATTCTTCTCACAAACTTTGATCATGTATACATCATAGAAGAGGCAAAGTGGTTTCATCGTATGTTTTTCATTTGGGATGTGTGCACATATCCATACATTGTTTATAAAAGCTGGAATTTTTGTACTGCAATGAAAAATTTTAGTTAGTTGGTTTGCTTCTTTTACATCTCAAGAGACCAACTGGTTAGTGTAATATTGACTAAGCTTTTGGTGGATTACAGTTATGAAAGTTTGCAGATGACACTAAGTTGGGA